TCATGTAAAAATGAGAAAGCACTCACGTCCTTGATGAAGAACAAGCAATGTAATCCACAACACGATCATCTTGACACTGTCTCCTGTCAGGGACCTTGTTGCTGTTTTAATGAGTGTAGGAGGTGATGTATGTAGGTATACAAACAAACAGTACGCTACGAACAATTTAGAATCATCAATTAACCTCAGCATGATTTTGGACTGTGGGTGGAAGCCAGAGAACCCGGAGAGAACCCATGCTGCACAGGGAGAACATGCAAACTCCACGTAGATCCCAGGTGTCCTAACTCTGATGCGAACTGGGGACCTTCCAGCTAACAACTGAGCCACAATGCAGCCATAGGAAACATACTTCCTTATATTATATACATGTTTACATTGTGCCCGTGTGCTGTTGCTATTGAGATGAAATACTAGAATTCAGTGTCAGTTGTTTACCAGGAATTTTTTGGCATCGGATGAATTGAAATATGATCTGACACTGATGGTACTGAGGATAACAATAGATGAAGAGTCAGGAAATCAACAAACTAATGACAATTTGTGCTGCCTCTGTGGAGGCTTCATCTAGTCTGTCCTCTTTTTTTATGAAAAGTCCATCAGTCGTCTCTAAAACATTCACACACTATAAATGTGAATCATCGTCTCGGAGGCATGAATGTCTGTACAAACTACCTCTACTGTCTCTGCTGAGGCTGGTGGCAGTGGAAAGCAGATGGAGGCAGTTGCTGCCCTCGAGAAGGTTCCTCTGTGCTGCTGCCTCCAAGTTCAAGTGATGAAAACCACAGAAATGACAGAACCAAGAAAGCTACATGAGGTGATTTTAACGTACTCACTCACCTTGTAAAACATACTCATTTAAATTTTAAATGCTAAAGTTTTAAGTTCTGCATAAATAATCGCGTGGCCACTTTGACAGACAGGTCAGTGCCTTCACAGGACAGTCGAAGGCAGATGTTTCCACAACCCATGTCAGCCTCAAACAGTACAGCATCTTATTTTGTGTAAATGATGCATGATAATGTGAACGTTAATTGTTTTTGGAGGCACATTTATTTATTTTCTGACGTACTGGGATTATATTAGTGGAGCCCTGTGGATTATTCTTCTCATTCAATTTTGTTTCAGTAGTAGCATGTGCTGGTTTTGAAACTGACAATTAAATACTATATTAGCAACAAGATGCTTGCATTGTGCTTTGTGTTTCAAACACTACACGTTGGTTTAGTCACACTGTCTTACACAGGATGCTTCCAGCTACAAGTATATTTACAACTCCTTTTAAAACACACCCATGTATACATATTGTGCATGGGGAGCTGTGAATAGTTCAAGTGAAGACGAGTTTATGTAACTGTTGAAGCTTTTCATTATCAAAGGTAATAACACATGTACACACATATAAATTCCTATTAGTGCAAATGTATTGCATGCAGTGATACAAAGACGAGCATCGTAGAATAAAGTTAACACTCACACAGAATTGAGTAACAAGATAGAAACTTAACCCTTCCCAGGGCTTTTAAGATACATCGTCCAAAATGCCAGCTTGGACAAGTGTACTATTAGTCTTGGCAATGGTCATCTTTTTAAGACGGTCAATGCTAATGCAATTACATGTGGTTTAAAATGCATCACAATTGACTTACATTTTGGTGATAGCAGGACTCAGAAATTGATTTTAATATCTGCAAACAGTTTGGACAAAATAAAAACCTATAGAAACGATGCACATCAAAATATCTTTTATTTTACCTAAACAAGCAGGCGCTGTTTTCTACATTATGCTGAACAAAAATTACATTAGCATCAATTTGTAAATCCAGCGTTTAGATTGTTAATCTCTTACAAAAGCTCTGACATCACTGTAGACNTTTTTTGTTGTTTAGAGAAATATGAATAACTTCTATTACCTTTGCCACAATCACAGTTGTTTTCCTTGATGCTGTAAACGAGGACGGCTATAACAATGAGACTTAGAGCCACAAAGGCGCACAGCAGAACAATAACTAATAACAAGGTGCTGCATCCTGGAACAAAATAAGAAGAAGGAAACGATGAAAGTGACAGATGAGTAAATGAAAAGGATGTTTAATGTCACTACATCTTAGGTGATTATTAATGTTGATAGTGTAATGTGACATCTAAATATTCAACCTGTCTCATGAATAGAATGATGATCCTTTACCTTGATTAGTCAGCGTGGTTCCATTTCCAAACAGTATCTGTCCACATGTGGCCACAGCACAGTAGTAAGTCCCAGCATCAGAGGAGCTGAAGGTCTTAGAGAAGTGATAAACACAGCTCTTCTGAGTGTCAGATCTCTTCTCACATCCATCATGTCTGTTTCCATCAGCATAGATGATGTCTGGATGAGATTCATCTGATCCAGTTCTGAACCAGAACACACTCAGATCTCCTGAACATGTTTTGTTCTCAGAGTCAGACAAGACTGAACACTGGAGAGTCTCTGATTCTCCTGGATGGTCTGAATCTGATTCTGTCGTCTGCTGAACAACAGTGTAGTCTGATGTCTTGTGACTGTGTCCTGTGTAATGAACAAAGTGTTAACAGGATGACGAGACTTCAAAGCACATTTTGAAAGTTTGAGAAAAACCTCAACTGTGACTTCAGTAGTTTTACATCAAACTCATATGAACAAGGAATATTATGAATATACTTCACTTGGATCAGTGGCTGTAGAAGCATTTAGATAAAAATAGAAGAAATTCATAATAAATGTAAATGTAATTAGATTGAAACATGTTTCGTGAGTTTTCTAAACATATTCAGTGTAGTTACTCTTCAACATGTATACAGTAGAGCTTTAGTGGTTGAAGCGTTTGCAAAACATGATGAAAGTAGCTCATTTATTACCTTTTACGATCAAATATGTCCCACTCCATTTAGATGCCAAGCCATACAATGCAGTCAATGCACAGTGATAGATTCCTTCGTCTTCTTGGATTGTCCTCAAAATAGTCAGGTTTATGAAATCATCATGAATATTAACTTTCCATCTTGAGTTAGAAAACTCTGGTGCAAACTGAGGTGTTGTATGTATTTGCTGATTCACAATTAGTTTCAGATTATCTCCAACACTCTGCTTGTACCAGCTGACTTCCACTTGGTTAATATTAGTATTAGACAGATCACATGTGAACGTTGTAGATTCACCAAGTTGAACTGGGATCACTGGAATGAGTGCATCTGAATTGAAAGAAA